CAGGAGTTTGAGGTTACTGTGAGCTATGAAGCCACAACACTCTAAAGGCAACATAGTGAGGCTCTGTCTCAAAAACAAAACAAAACAGAACAAAACAAACACCTACTTCTTTAGCAATTTCAAAATTTTACATATATAATATGTTAATATTAACTGTGGTCACCATGCTGTGCAATAGATCACAAAGTCTGCTTTTTCATACACTCTCTTTCTTTGGTTTCCAGAAACTCAGCCTCCTTGGTTTTCCTGCTACCCCTCTGGCCACTCTAAATTCCTTTGCCAATTCTTCCTCCTCAACTCACCTCTAAGTAAGAGTTGGGATGTTTCAGGGGTCAATGCTCAGCTCTTTTTCTGTACACACTCTCTACATAGGTCCTCCAGTCTCATAGCATTAAAAGCCATCCACACCCAATCGCTCCCCCATATTTACTCTCCAGGTCTGATCTCCAAACTCACGTACCTCCAGCCTGTGTAACCTCCACTGGAAAGTCTGAGAGGAGATCTTAACTAACACGGCTAAAGCGTAATACTTGGTTCTCTCCTCAAACTTCTATCCTCAATCCCAAAGTATTTCCCATCTTAGTAAAAAGAACGACTATCTACCCAATTACAGTCATGCATCCTATGAGGACATTTGAGCCAGTAATGTCCCCCATACACAACAGTGCTCCCATAAGATTATAATGAAGCTGAAAAATTTCTATCATCTAGTGAAATCTCTTGTAGCTTTCTTATCATTGTGTCATGTGTTCTTCTTTCTTTCTTTTTTTGACAGATATGGTCTCACTCTGTCACCCAGGCTAGAATGCAATGGTGTGATCCTAACTCACTACAGCCTCAAACTCCTGGCCTCAAATGATCCTCCTGCCTCAGCCTCTGGAGTAGCTAAAACCTAGAGTGGACACCTTCATGCTGGGTTAAATTTCGTAAAAGTTTTTTTTTGCAGTTTTTGGCCGTGGCTGGGTTTGAACCCACCACCTCTGGCATATGGGGTGGTGAGCCACAGGTGCCACCATTAAAAGTTATTTTTTTATAGAGATGGGGGTGGAAGGTGGAGAGGGTGTCTGAAGATATTGCGCAGGTTGGTCTCAACTCCAGTCCTCCAGTGATCCTCTGCCAGGGCCTCTACATTTTCTATGTTTAAATACACAAATATCATTGTGTTATAATTGTTTACAATAATTCAACAGTGACATGCTGTATAAGTTTGTACCCTAGGAGCAATGGGGTATGCCATCTAGCCTAAGTAGACAATAACATTTAGGTTTGATTAAGCACACTCAATGATGTTGGCATCACTAACAGCACATTTTTCAGACCCTGTTTCAATAATTAAGTGACGCAAGACTGTACTTAAGTCAGTGACCTAGAAGTAACCCATTCATGTTCTCTATCCACCGCCAAAACCTCAGTAGCAGCCAACATTATGTCTTCACTGGAAAACTGTTTCAGCTCCCCAAGTGAACTCTCTGCTTCCATTCTCTGCATAGCAGCCAAAGTGATCTTTTAAAACGTAAGTTGGAAGTAGAACTTTCTTAGTGAAAATCCCTTGCTGGCTTCCCCTTGACCCCAGACTAAAACCCACAGTCCTTCTGGAGTCTTCAAGGCCTTATAGGATGTGCCATTCCTTCCTCTCTCACATAATCTCTGCCTTTCTTTCAATTTTCCATCCCAGGCTCCCTGGCCCTCTTTCTGCAGCTCCCAGCAGGAAAGCGCTTTCCTGCCCCAAAGTCTTTGTGCTTGCTCTTCCTTTTGTCGGGACTCCTGACCGCCGGCTGCCCTAGGTTCACAATGTCACCTACTCATAGAGGCAGCTTCTGACCGCCCTGAATAAGTGGCATTTCACGTTCAAGTCATTGTCACAACTGTTTTTTTGTATCTTTGTTTTCTTCCCACAGTCTTATAACCATTTGGAACTATATTATTTTCTGCTTTCTTAGTTATTTTCTCTTCTTTCCCAGCTCTGATATAAGTGTCAGGATACCCCGGAACCCAAGTACTTCCAATGCCTAATGATACTTGGTACACAGGAGGCGCTCCAGAAATACCAACTGAACAAATAAATACAGTAGCTGCATCGCAGACGCATAGATGCCCAGATTGTTTGACAATTTCCTTCTGAGAGCCACTGTCACAGCTTAGAGCTGAGAAGAGAGCATTGGCAGTCACTGACAATCACGGAGATCCAAACCCAACCGGAGATGAAGCGGTTAGGCGAAAAAGACAGGAGACAGAGACACAGACTTGGGGTGAGTTACAAAGACGCGAGACAGATAAAGACCGAGACCTAAACTCCGCACACGGGAGATCCTGGCCACGCAAGCCCTGGCAGCAGCTGGAGACCGTGCCAAGAAGAGGGGCGTGGAGGGAGCAGATTGCGCGGGAAGAGAGCAGAAAGCTAGAGCGGCGGGTCTGGGAGACCCGGGCCGCCCCGTCCCCTCCCACAAGTGGCCGCGGCAGGTGGCCGTGCGTCTGCCAGCCCTCCCGTCGGCCTGACGCGTGCGGGATCAAAGCAGCCGGGAAGGGGCGGGGAGGGGAGGTGTCTAAAACTTGGAGGTGTGAACGAGCTTCCCTTGCTTACAGGGGATGGCAGGAACGTGGGAGCGCAGAGACCTGGGAGGCGACAGAGACCCGGAGAGACGACGAGTGATCTCAGACACCTGGAGAGACCCTGATGCGGAGACGCAGATGCTGCGAGAAAGGAGAGACCCAGAATCAGAGAGGCGGAGGGACAAGACAACTGAAGACCCAGAACTGAAGTGGCTAAGAGATCTGGAAAGAACAGGAGAGGCACTCAGAAACACGGAAAGACAGAGAGACCAGAAGGCCCAGCCAGATCCATGAACTTAAGAAAAGGGAGGGTGATTCAGAGAGAACAGAAAGTAAAAGATAGAAGAAAAGAAATGCAAAGAGTAAGGCATTTCGAGTGTGTAGGGCGGAGAGACCCGACCCCTCCCCCAGTGGAGGGCCGGGAGACCCCCCGGGGCAGGGATCCGAGTATCATGTCCTTTCTCAGGGTCACGCCTGTGGAGGTGTGGGTTGGGGGCGGAGTGAGGGGTGTGGAGTCGGTAAGACCTCCAGGCTGGGAGGAGGGGAGTTTGAGAACATGAGGAATCAGGATCTAGGTCTGGGGCTTCAAATTCTGGGATCGTCAAAATGCTAAATTTAATATTTAGTAGAAATGTTTAAACGAAGATGCTTCTTAGGTCGTTAAATATAACGTGCCCTTTTGGGGGAAGGAAAAAAAAATTCGTAGCTTGCATTGGCCGGGAATCGAACCCGGGCCTCCCGCGTGGCAGGCGAGAATTCTACCACTGAACCACCAATGCTATTTGTAATAAGTGCCTCATGGTTTAAGCTGAAGTTGTAAGAGGTTAAGCTAGAACCAGCCAAGCCGGTAGCGTAGAACAGCGCCTCAAGGAAGGACTGGCTCCTTATGGCAACTTAGGTGGAGCGCCAGGCCATCCTTCCTCCAGCCGCAGGATCCGGCGACCAGGCCATAAAGGCGCCCCATATGGCCAGGGGCGGCCCCACACCTGGGTGCGAACAGCTCCGGCCCCCAAGCCTCGCGTGCAGGTGAGAAAAACTCAGCCTGAGCCCAGGTTCCCAAGGAGGGGGGCAGCGGGGGCTGCTAGTGCCACACATTTGCGCTCCCATTTGGCCAAGGTAGGGGGAGGTGGGATGTTTGGGGGGCTCTGATCCCAAACCGGATCCCCTCTCTCAAGGTCTGTGCCCCTCTGGGCTGGGGCTTTGGCAAGGCAGGCTCCGTGAAAAAAACAAAAACACCAAACCAAGGTGTGGAGGGGCTCTAGGAGGGCTTAGAGAAAACCGTACTTCTCTCTGACTTCACAGCTATCTTCCGTCTCGGTCTGTAACCCTGTCCTTCTGTGTCTTTGTCCTCGGCAGTCTTCCTGTACCTTTCAATTTTTGATTTATTTTCTCCAGCACTTTATCCTGAAGCCTCCGAATGTGCGCGCATCATTATGCAGAGAGCCATGCTCTTGGTTTGAGGTGGGTGTTGATCCTATTTTTGTATCCCTCTTATGGCCCTTTAGGACAACTGCCTGCTCCCTGCCCCCTCACAATCCCAAAGGGCCTCCAAAGGCATCCAGTGAGCTACTTCTGAATCTTCTATGATCAATTTTGAATAAAATAGTTGTACTATAAGCGCAAACATCTCTTCATTCATTCCTATGTTTCAAACACTTGCTTCCTCTTCCTTAAGTTCCCTCAGTTCAGCCACCCTCAAGGAGACTCTTCCCAGAGCACCTACTTCACTCTGAGGTGATAGCTACTTGATGACACCTCTTTTCCACACTAGATGGTCTTGCAGGATAAGCTGGGTCTTTATGGCACGTCTCAGTGTGAACCTTTTAGCCTAGACCAGTGTCCATAGCACAGTGAGCCTGCAGATGTTAGGGGACTTGAATGGAACTGACATAGAGCAGAGTGGCTCTTCTACTTCCTGGCAGAACACTTCTTCAGTGAGGCAGATCCACTAAACACACGGCTTGCTGCCTATCCTGAGTAGAAGGCAAAGTTTGGGGAAGATATATAAAATTCATTGGGGGGCGGAGATTAGGGGTGCTAACTTTTATTTCAGAGATAGTGAGGGTACAGTGAGCCTCCCAGAAAGCTTCAATTCTGGGGAAACTCGAAACTTCATCCTTAAATGGGTTCTGTTCCAAATAACCTAATCTCCCTCTGCCCCTAGTAGCCTCCTCCCTCCAGCTGGGTCCCGCCTCCTATAAACAGCCTTATGGTCCCTAAACTAGTCAGTGTCCATTCGCCCCTCGTTTCCCACACTCCCAGGACAATTCCTTTCCTTCCCCTCCCCCTTTCACTCCTCCCCTTTCCGGGAGCCTCGTGCCGGGGGTCCTAGCCGGCGGAATCTGGGTGCTGAAGGGGGCGGGTCTGGGTCCCATCCCTCCTACCCTGGCACCGCGGAATATAAGGCTCCAGGCTAGCTGGGATCCGGTCCACACCAGGGTCCGGAGGAGTAATGGTCACCCGGGATCGAACTGAGAATAGGGACGGCCCCAAGGTGAGAGGCGGGAGGGGAGAGTGAGCAGAGGCCCCGAGGCCAGATATAGTGGGTCGGGGGAGAGCCTGGGAACACAGGGGTGGAAAGAGAGAGGTGCCCGGGGACCCAAGAAACCAGGAGCTGTAGAGGAAGCTATAAAGTATAAAGAAGAGGACCAGGTCAGAGCAATACCTGCGTGGGCGGTGGAAGCACAGGTCTAGGGCCCTGGGTAATGAGGGCTCGGCACCTGGTGGCCAGGAGGGCTGGGAGGGGGCTGGAGTTTGAGTAAAATAAGCAAGGGGATGGAACCAAGGGAGGAGGGTGGGAACAAACAGGAGAAGATAGGCACTTCTGCCTATCTGTGAGCCGAAGCTGGTCCAATGTGGTCTTATGGAGAAGCCCCCGGGACATTGGTTCCAGAGGCCGAGTCCGAGTGTAAGACGAGAACCAGTGGAGAAGGGTGATGGCCTAGAAGGGTTTGAGGGAGAAGAGGAGCGGTCGCGCTAGGTGTCTCCCTTTCTACACTCAGGGCCGCCAGCTCTGAGCCCGAAACCGTGCGGCCCAAGTGCTTGCGAGCAAAGAGGGTCCTCAAAGTTCTCCACTGAGACACAGAGAGATACTGCACGAGACGGAGACGTAGAGAGAAAAAGAGAAGGAGAGACACAGAGAGGGGAGGCGGGAGGACGAGTCTCAGAAAGGAGAATGCGGAAGACCCGGGAGAGAGAGGAGGCGAGCTACAGAAACTGGCCCTAGGGGAGCGGAAAGGGATCGAACTGGGGGCCTCGGGGAAGGGGTGGAAGCCCGGCTCTCCCAGCGGCGGGATCTGGACACCAGCGCGACCGCGCTGAGTATCGGTCCGGTCGGCCCGCTCCCCTTTTCCCGCTGGTCGCAGATGCTGAAACCGCTTGTGGAGAAGCGGCGCCGGGACCGCATCAACCGCAGCCTGGAAGAGCTGAGGCTGCTCCTGCTAGAGCGGACCCGGGACCAGGTCAGTCCCTCTGCCAGCCCCAGACCCCCAGGCATCCGGTACCCGCGTCCCAGGGTTTCTCAATGGGGTGGGAACGTACGCTGGATTGGTGATCATGGCCCTAAAGCATCCTGACCCGAGTCCCGCCCTTGGAATCCCATCCCAGACCCCCTCTGGCTCTCGCATCGCGATCTTCTACACCACCCCCTGGGGTCTGTAAGTTTCACGCCTGGATCTGTAAATTTCACTCCCACGGTTTGTTAGTTTCACCCTTTGGCTACCTAAAGGCCCCCTTCAGTTCTCCCACCCCCTTCAGAGCATCCAGCTTCAGTTCTGTCAGTGGTTAATTTCACTCCCTGAGTTGCTGTTTCAAATCCCCTCCTCACTCAACGGGTATTGGGTCCATCCCTCGGGTTGGACAGTTTCCTCTCAGGGTGGGGCATGACCATCCTTGGTCATCCGCTCCGCATTCAGTCGCGCGTTCTGTAAGCCGCGGGTAAATCAAATTCCGGGCACCCCCAGCTCCCGCATCCGTCCCTCCCTTCTTCCCCCTGCCACTTTCCCCCTCTCTCCCCACCCCTGTCTGTCTCTGCGCCCTCCCCTCCCGTCTGTAGAACCTCCGGAACCCGAAGCTGGAGAAAGCAGAAATACTGGAGTTCGCCGTGGGCTACTTGAGGGAGCGAAGCCGGGTGGAGCCCCCGGGTACAGCGCGGGGGTGGGGCAGCAGAGGGAGGGCGAGGGGAGTAGTGGAGACTCGGGCTGGGGAAGACTGGGCGGGCCCAGCGGAGGACGGTGGGTTTGGGGAATGGCAGGTTCTGCTCCGAGGCGAGGTTAATAACACCCGCGCGTATCTGTCTGTGTCTCTCATTTTCTCTCTCTCTCCGTCCATCTGGTTTCCTGTCTCTGTGCGCCTGTCCGGCCTCTGTATCTCTGCGCTCCGTCCTTTCCCTCACCCCTGCTGGGTCCCTACCCTGCACGCCTGTGCTCCTGCCCGCCGCGCCCGCCGCCGCGGCTCCAGGGGTTCCCCGGTCCCCAGCCCAGGACGCCGAGGCGCTCGCCAGCTGCTACTTGTCCGGCTTCCGCGAGTGCCTCCTTCGCTTGGCTGCCTTTGCGCACGACGCCAGCCCAGCCGCCCGCGCCCAGCTCTTCTCCGCGCTGCACGGCTACCTGCGCCCCAAGCTGCCGCGACCGGATCCGGTAGATCCGAGGTCTCCAGCGCCGCGCCCTCCGCTGGATCCCGCCGCACCCGCCCTAGGCCTCGCGCTGCACCAGCGCCCCCCAGTGCACCAGGGCCCCCCTAGCCCGCGCTGCGCGTGGTCCTCATCCCTCTGCTCCCCCCGCGCCAGGGATTGCGGCGCTCCAGCGCCCCTCACAGGACTGCTGCCGCCGCCACCGCCGCCTCACAAACAAGACGGGGCGCCCAAGGCCCCGCCACCCCCGCCAACCGCTTTCTGGAGACCTTGGCCCTGAGTTTTGGGGGGGGGGGGATGGAGGCGGGGACTGGGGGTGGAGTAGAGACTCCAGCCCATGGGCAGCAGAGGGACCCGGGCGTCCGGGCGAGGAGGTATTGGGGAGTGCGGCGGGGCGCGCGGATTCAGCGCGCGGGTGAGATGTGGTCTATATTAGAGTATCTATATAAATATATATTTCCCTGGTTCTTGTCCCTTTTCCCGGACCCCCTCCTCCTTGCGTCTAGGATTGTACACTCTTTGCTCTCCGCCGAGTCCCGGTTCCTTTACAAGTCCCTAGTGCATGGAATAAAGTGGTTATTAAATCCCCGTGTGTCCCCGAGCCAGGGGCCTGCCTTTATCTCGGTGTCCACGCCCACTTTCCCTTCCCTTCTGTCTCCCACCCCCAGTCTTGCTCTCCATGGCCCAAGCTCCGGGACAGACAGGTAAGTAAAGAAGAGAGCAGAGTGGAGACTGAGGTTGGAACTGAAACCAGGTGGAAAACAGATAGGGTAGGGGAAAAAGGGATTGGGGGGGGGGGTCTTTGAGGAAAGTAGGATAAAAAGGAAAGAAAAAAATTCAAATAAAATCGACTCTGGTGGGATTCGAACCCACAACCTTTGAATCGCTTTTTCGTCACTAGAAGTCCAATGCGCTATCCATTGCGCCACAGAGCCACCTGGTGGGCATTGGCGTCCTGTGACTTACGGGTAGTAGAATGGGAAAGGGGCAGGTTTGGGAAGGGTGTGAAGGAATTGGGCAGGGCGTGTGAAGAGCGTGCGGTTTGGATCTCCGAAGCCAGACAGATAGAAATAACCGGCGCAAAGCTTATGAGCCAGGTGGAAATGAGGGCTCGCAAAAAGCAGGGAGGGCAAACAACGAAATATGAACGAATGCAGAGCTCTGGCTATCTGCTTGGGGTGTGCTTCCGGTTCAGGCGCACCTCCACTCCCGGATGTGGCCCTACCCAATAAATATTTTTTGTTGTAAATTTCTGTGTGTCTGTTTCTTTTGGTTGATTTGTTCTATCATCTGCTCCTAATGTGGTCAGGAGTCTCAACGGTTTCCCATTCCTGGTTGGAAACATCTGGGAAAAGGACATCAATCAATTTGATTCCTTAGTCTTTGGCCCACTTCTTCCTTCTAGTCTCTTAGGAAGAGAACAGGGAAAGGTTGTTTGAGGCAGGTAGCGTGGCCGAGCGGTCTAAGGCGCTGGATTTAGGCTCCAGTCTCTTCGGAGGCGTGGGTTCGAATCCCACCGCTGCCAGGGAGGTTTTTCTCTTTAAGCACACAGTAATTATTTCACAAGAGGTCATTTGGAAAATTTCTTTAGTTTTATAAAGTCCCTGCTAGTGGTTTCACCCCTACCTCCATCACTAGTCTTCCAGACAGATCTTACATCAGCTTCTCAACCTTAAATCAAGACAGGATAGAAACTAGTGAAGAAATCTTAATGTCTTCATAACTGATCTCTATTTTAACGTGTTTCCAAAGATAACATTTTCAACTCAAAATTAGCGCAACCTCGAATATATGAATATATTTAGAAGATTTACTGCATTTCCTCCTGGCGGTGTGCACTAGAGAATCCTATTGCCCAGGGCGGAAAGCTCAAAGATGAGTGTCGTGAATCGCTTTTGGTTTTCAAATGTTCCCAGGTCGTAAAGAGAATATGTCGTTTAATGAAACTAACACAGGATAATATTAACATTAAGGCAAAATGTAACATTAAGGTAAAATACAAAGGTTCCACCGAGATTTGAACTCGGATCGCTGGATTCAGAGTCCAGAGTGCTAACCATTACACCATGGAACCCATCCGCGGAAGACACCTTTCAGAAATTGTATTCATTACTGCTTTGTTCTATTCTGTTTGTTTATCACCATCCACCCGTTGTTTATAGAAAACAACGGGAAACAAAAGAAAGTCTGCTGGAAAATATAGTGAACACAGCTATTGAGCACCCGGAATATAAATAGAAATGCACTGTCAGCTGCTATATACATTGTATATAGAATGATTTGTGCACAAGGACAAAATTGTATTAATAATTTAAAATATTAATTACATATTAAAATAAGACTTTGGGATATCGGGTTAAATATTTTACTACATTTTATTTCTCCTTTTTTAAAACTTTTTTTAATGTGGCTACTAGAAAATTTAAAGTACTACAATATATGACATACATATGTAACTACCCTAAAACGTATTTTCTTTCGCTCTACAACTCTATCTTTTGGAAAGCATGTTCCATTTCCCCTTAATACCATTTATTTATAAAACCAGATAACCCCTCTTGTTATCATTTTCTATTGTCTTATTAGTAAGGAGCAAAACATGTTAATTGCATTCTAAAATACAATGTACGCCCGAACAGGGACTTGAACCCTGGACCCTCAGATTAAAAGTCTGATGCTCTACCGACTGAGCTATCCGGGCTTCCGACCATATACTCTCTCTCTTATCTATAAGAGATTTGCATACAGGGAAGTCCAGCCTTACAAAACCGACGGAGAATAGTGTGTGAACTCCGAGGCTTCTGGCACAGACTCCAGGAAGCGAAAGAAGCCGCCTGATGCCGATTGTTTCTTTCTTTGCCCCTTTCAAAGGCCCGGGAGCGGTTGGGGCGCAGGGACTAGAGAGCATCGCGGGAGGCTTGAATTGTGCAGCGCCAGGATTGGCCGCGCGAGGCCACTGCGGGCTACGGGAATTACCTCGCAAAAGCTTTCTCTCCAGCTCCTGTGACCCAGATCTCGGACACCTCTGGCACCTGTGCCACCGCCTACGGTCCCGCAGGCCCAGGGCGGGCCTGGAGTGGAAAGAATGCCACATGAGGCCTTCAGACGCTGTGAGCCAGGATTCCACTTTGTTTTCCTGGCCGCCCCTATTCCAAAGGCTGGGGACAGAGAGGGCCTGGGGAGATGGGTGTAATGATAAGAGAGGTGTTTCTGATTACCTGCCGGCTGCTGGAATGCGTGTGCGACTCAGCTGTGTATGGCTGTGAGATTTGTGGCCAAGTATGGCTCACCTCTGTGTAGTGATTCACATGGATGATTCACGTGTAGGAATGCAGCTACCTCGAGCTCTGGTCTGGCTAGGAGAGCAGAGAAAAGGGTCTTGAAAGAAGTTGGGAAGTGGGTGGGCAAGGGCCCCAGAGCATCAGTTGGGCCCCTGACCAGATGAAGGGCAGTGTTCCAATTACACAGGCATTACCTCCTCCCTGACTCCATCTCAGCATCTGGTCCCTCCCTTCCAGTGGGACCTAGACTCCTGATATCCATCTGGGCGAGCCAGCCAGAGGGACCGGCTGTGCTAGAGTCACGCAAATAAGTATTAGGGTGCAAGCTGTGGGCGGAGAAAGGGAGCTCAAGCCTCCAGCGAGGAGCTTCGGAGCCCAGGAGCACCCGAAGAGAGCCCAGGAGCATCTGGAGAGAGCTGGGCCCCTCCTCAGGCCCCTCCTGCACCTACATCCCTGCCTCCCAGAAATCCAGTCTGCCAGACCTGCTGCTCACCTCCTTCAGGCCGGCTGCTGCTGTGGCCAGCTTTGCTGGGGGCAGCCCTCCTTCCCTTCCATCATGGCAGTGTATCGCCTGTGTGTGACTACTGGCCCCTACCTGATGGCTGGCACACTGGACAACATCTCTGTCACACTTGTGGGCACATGTGGTGAAAGCCCCAAGAAGCGGCTGGATCGAATTGGCAGGGACTTCACCCCTGGATCGGTGAGTACAAAGGAGAGAGGAAGCACAACCCCTGAGGGGCAGGGCTTGCAAGGCACCCTGATGGAGAGGAAGATCACTCCTCCTGGACTCATCAAATCAGGATGGTGGCTCTGATCTCATCACCACCGCTGTTGCAGTCAGGGTCTTTCCTGATGATAAACTCTATCCAGGTTGAGAGGAAAGAGTACTGAGCAGGGAGATGGGGAGATGTCCTGTGCTAGCATACTTGATGGTAGCCTTTGAAGCCTGGGTTTCCTCTTCTCTGGAGGGGATCTGCCTGCTTTCCTCAGTCCCAAGGATTGTTTGCTGATGACCTACACAAAGGTTCCTCAGTGGCCAAGAGGCTAGTGAAATCCACTAGTGCCCACTCTGCTCACACTGTGTGGGGTGCCTGCTTCTAGCTGAATGAGGGTTGCCGTTCTCTAATTCTAATACAAAGGCATCCTGTGGGTTAGCAGCAACTCAAGTTTATATACCCAAATAGGCACAGGTATAGATGCACATTGCAAGGGGGCAAGGACGGCTTTAGCAGTTCTCTGCCTCTCACCTTCTGTACCTGTCCCCTCAGGTACAGAAGTACAAGGTGCACTGCTCAGCAGAGTTAGGTGAGCTCTTGCTGTTGCGTGTGCACAAGGAGCGCTACGCTTTCTTCCGCAAGGACTCCTGGTACTGCAGCAGCATCTGTGTCACTGCCCCGGATGGTACCATTTCCCACTTCCCCTGCTATCAATGGATTGAAGGCTATTGCACAATGGAGCTGAGACCAGGAACAGGTGGGCCAGAGGCAAGGGCAAAAGTATACTGCAGAAGGCATCTTTTGGGGTTGGAGGTAGGGTATCACAGAGCCCAGGGTGTAGGGAATAGGACTGGGGTCAGGAACTCTGGGCTCCCAGGAAATGCTTTTTGAAAAAAGTGAGCCTCTCAAGTCCTATTGCAAGGGAGACTCCTCTAGAGATACATAGTCACTAGACACACACACTGAGGTAGACATGCACTCTTCTCTCTCACTCATGGCAATTTGCTTTCCACACTTCCCTCTGCATTTCCCCAGAGTGAATTCCTCTGGAGCCCAGAGAGGAATTAACCTAGTGGCTGAGTTATTCAATTGGTGAAGAAGCCCTCAATGTTAAGAGAATGCAGCTGGAGAGGCCTTGTCTCCTACTACTCGCTTTTCCAGTACAGATGAAGTCTCGGTGAGGCACTCTTAGGATGCATTGTAGAATATCTGAGGCCTTTCAAGGATGCTGGGCTTGACTGCCTTCTACTTTCAGAGCTCTCTGATCCAGAGGCAACACTAGGGCAGCTCTGAGTGTTGAGATGATTCTCAGGTTTGAGAGAAGAATATTCCAAGTCAAGGTTAGGCTGGGGAACGTTACTCCACAGCCCACAGTGAGCTCATTATAGACTGCACTATACACTCCCATCCATTACCATGATATGTTCACCAATAGCATCACAAAATATATTTGTTCATCAGTCATTTATCAAGTGCATGTTATGGGCAAGGTAGCAGGCACCATGCTAGACATGGGAATACAGAAAATGAATACAACATGACTTGTGCCCTCATTGCGTGTATAGGCTAGAAAGGAGACAAACATGCAAAAAATTAAGAGCTAGTTGTGGCTGAGGTGGGTGGATCACCTGAGCTCAGCCTGAGCCAGAGTGAGACCCAGTCTCTTAAAAAAAAAAAAAAAAAAAGCGGGAGCCTGTGGTCCCAGCTACTTGGGAGGCTGAGGTAAGAGAAAAAAAAGGCCAGTGAGGTGGCTCATGCCTGTAATCCTAGCACTCCAGGAGGTCGAGGCAGGGGGATTGCCTGAGCTCACAAGTTCAAGATCGGCCTGAGCCAGAGCAAGATCCCAACTGTAAAAAAAAAAAAAAAAGCCAGTTGTTGTGGCTGGCACCTGTAGTCCCAGCTACTTGGGAGGCTGAGACAAGAGAATCGCTTGAGCCCAAGAGTTTGAAGTTGCCGTGAGCTATGATGCCATTGCACCCTACTGAGGGCGATAAAGTGACACTGTGTTTCAATATAAGTAAAAAATATAATAGCTGGGCATGTGGCAGGTGCCTGTAGTCCCAGTTACTTGGGCCACTGAGGCAAGAAGATCACTTGAGCCCAAGAGTTTGAGGTTGCTGTGAGCTATGATGTCATGGCACTCTACTAAGGGTGACAAAATAACTCTGTCTCAAAAAAAAAAAAAAGGTAGGAAGAGTGTTATAATTTGGAGGTCACTTTGTCTCAAATACCTTCTACTGATGAAATACAA